CTACCCTGATCACACTGGGCTGTACTGCACTGTACTGTGTTTTTACTCTGATATCAGTGGGCTGTACTGCACTGTACTGTGCTTCTACCCTGATCTCACTGGGCTGTACTGCACTGTACTGTGTTTTTACTGTATTTTACTGCACTGTACTGTGCTTCTACCCTGATCTCACTGTATTTTACTGCACTGTACTGTGCTTCTACCCTGATCTCACTGGGCTGTACTGCACAGTACTGTGTTTTTACTCTGATATCACTGGGCTGTACTGCACTGTACTGTGTTTTTACTCTGATCTCACTGGGCTTTACTGTGTTGTACTGTGCTTCTACCCTGATCTCACCTCGATCTCACTGGACAGTCCGTCAGCCTGTCCGTCTGCTCATCCAGTGCCAGCAGGCTGCCCTCCCTGTGACACTCCAGCAGGACAGAGCAGAGCAGCGTGGAGATGCCTGTGTGGTGTGCAGTGGTGTAGAGATCTGAGAGATAGCAGGAATCCCCAGATGTTAATGTACCCACAGCAGCAAAGACTGTGGAGAGAGTGATAATCGACACAGCAATAATACCAATCGACTCCTCCATCTTCTGTCCACTCTGTCCAGTACAGGGTCGCGTGGGAGCCGGAGTCATTCCCAGCAAGCAACGGCCACAAAGCAGGATCCAGGCTGGACGGGACAGCAGTCCTCCATTACAATAATAATAATTCTTACAATAATAATACTTAACAGGAGGATGTGCTCCAGATCAGAGAATAGAATATTTAGTGCTCTCCAGGAGTGAGAGCCTCAGCCCAGGGAGCAGGAGAGCGGAGATCACCTCACACCACAGCTTGGGGCTCCCTGAGGGACCCCGTTACCCTGGGTGTCCTGGGCGGCGCTGAGGGGCAGCGGGCCCCGCCCCACCCTGTCCGGGAACCCCAGAGCAGAGCAGGGGGGTGTCTGCCAGGCCGGGGGGCACACGGCCCTGACTGTGTCACCGAATAAAGGAGAAACCTTCCTGGAGCTCCGCGTTCATTCTTGAGTCCTGTGTGTGTGTGTGTGTGTGTGTGTGTGTGTGTTTGAGGGGTGCTGGTGGAGTGATCCCCAGTGGGCATCGTGTCTCAGGCCCTGGCGCCGCGTCAGGACGCCCCGCTTGTTACCACACCTCGGCGGATTCTGGACCCGCGGACAGGCCGTGTAGGGCTGTTCCCTGAGGCTC